CATTAAGGATGATACCTTTTTATGTGGATGAATATGACCAGTGAATTGATGGAGTGTGTTTAAAATTGAAGGCCATGATTGTTGCCACCTCCTGAATGTCAAAATTGATATCATCGAGATAATTAATCTATCAAATTGATCTCATCAATTGATGTTCCTTACTTCGTGTCATGTGCTCATGGGAGGCTCGGCCTATGAGGTCCACGAGCTTAAGTGACAAATCGAGCTTGCTTCGTGGAATCGGCTTGATCTATTGTTATCCTTATCATCGGCCATCAACATAAATTCCCTCACACACCATGTATCAATATCAAATTAATATTCATTTTTAAATTGTGAACACATTAACAATGACCCACCCTCTCTAGTGATTGCAAACACATCATAAGGATGAACGATTCTTCCTAAAGAATATTACTGTTGTACATGAAGATAAGAGACATTGTTAGCAACAACGCCATTGTCCCCATTCGTTGACTCAAGTGATTGTCTTCCTTTTGAAGAAGTAACAGACTGTCCAAGTCTACTAATAACAAAGATTAATCCTTTTTTTTTTTTTTGAAAAAAGAAAAAAGAAAAAAAATAATTAAAAAAAATAATTCTTGTGCAATCTAAACAAAATCAAAACACCATTAACTTTCACTTGTCACAAGCTAAAACTGATAGACCGTATATATGATGATGCTCGAATTAGTAAGGTGTAAAAATAGGTAAGAGAGTGTGCATTCAAATTATGATTTATGTATTATCTTGAATAATTTTTTTACTTGATTTCTTGAGCAAATTATGTGCAATGATCCACTCAATGGTCATTTGATATTTACGCATAGACCAATAAGACCAATACACTTTACTTAACCCCCTTTGGAATAAAATTTCCACATTGATGTAATAATAAAGTCATGAGTGCAAGAAAAATTTAACAGAATTTGATCCGAAAATGACGTGGCAAAATGCAAGTGGATTATTTTTTTCTTTTTTATTATCTTTCAATGATGTCACATCATGTTGTCTGTAAAAAATTTTTGTCAAAAAAAATTTTGTACTTAAAGCTTGATGTAATTAATCACATAAAGTCATAGATCGTAGTCAACTCTTAATGAGTACGATGATTGATTACATAAATATATTAGACCTTTCTAACTTTTTTTTCTTTATATAGGATATTAGGACAAATCTTTATTTATTTTTATTTTTTTACCAAAATGGAGAGAAAGTACAGAGAGATGTGAATTGAATACATTGTAATTCTCTTTATCGATATTGTGTAATTTCAGTAGCGATACCTGGTATAGTAGCTCTCGAATTGAGAGTGGATTACATTGCATCGTGTGTTGTTTTTAATAATATGAATTATTCGTTTAATCCATAATATATTAGAGGTTGCTTCTTGATATAAATGAGATATAATATACGTGCAATAATCTACTTTTCTTGATGAAGTTATGATTCCCCATGTCACATTTACATGAACATTCGTGATTCGTAGAATTATGTTTATATGATTGAATAATGCATGATCGAATAATGAACATATGTTGGAAAAAAAACACACACATAAAGACAATTTTATAAATCGCCAAGTATAACCACTGTTTAGTTCATTTAAAAAGTTAGACTGAAATCTAAATCAAAATCAACAATTAATTTTAATCACACATTTTATTGGATCCATCAACTTTTTAATCATAAAATTTATTAACTTCTATCAAAATCTACTAAAAATATAATTTTATCTAAACAAAATAAGGGCATAGTCACATATACGTATCAAAATGCAAATTGATTGTCCATCATTCTCACGTGGAAATTTGATTTTCAAAAGTAGTTACGTGAAAGTACTCGGGAAATTATTTTGTACAGTGTGCAAGTAAATGAAGAAAAAATAAGACCACACAATAGGGTCATTTAACTCTTCTATTGGACACCGAGCACCATGGGAAGCGCCTTCCTAAGGCTTTGTACCTAAAAGTGTTTGTTTGAAAAAATTAAAACGTTAAAAATTTGAGTTCATAATTAACGTAGAATTTAAATCACATATTTATGATACCAATAATTTTTATAATCTTTTCAACCAGATTTCATCAATTTTTATCGTAATATACAAAAATTTTTTGTCAAAGGTTTTGTCAAATAACCCTTAAAAGAGTTTCTTCATTGTTCGATTTATCTCTAACTTATTTAACTATGCAGTCCCTAGACAACCTCAAAAAGGTTTCCACATAAGATTGAGCTGAGCCGGAATTTTAGGGGGCCCATTTTTTGCTTTTTACCTTTTTTTTTAACCCATTATACCCATGTGTTCAAAAGAAACGAATAAATACTTAATGAAAAGAGAAGGAAGGAACATCAAAAAATTTATTTGTTGTTTTATTGTTGATTTAAGTTAACAAATTTAATTCCGTAAACTTCTAATTTTTTATTTTATTTTTTAAAAAAAGGGATTGTTTGCTACGACTTAGGGCTTAAGGCCCAAATTTCGAAGTTCGCCTCAGGCCCCGCGAAACATAGGTACGACCCTGGTTGGTAGAGCCTCATGATAAATTCAATTCACCACAAAAATACCTTCACCTTAGTTCCAAAGGTCCGTTCACCAATCCTGAAGAGCCACATAACCATATCTAAATAGCGCTCGCTCAACAATAGTTTATAACCACTTTGGACTGAATAGCGACTGCAACTATTACAATACATGTTCAAGTGGTTCATCGAGTTACCGAGGCCAAGAGGAATGGACAAAATCGCATCGCTATCCACGACTGAATGCGACCACAACTGTAACAATGTCAGATCAAGTGGTTCATCTAGTTACCGAGGCTAAGAGGAATGGACAAATAGCACCGCTTTCCACATGTAGGTTTAACTCTTTGATTAGTTCAATAGTTCAAGTTCCACGTGTTTCTATCAATTCAATCACCAAATTCACCTCCCTCAAGTTGGAGAGATACACTTAAAACTTAGGTCTCAATAAATCACGATAAATCCTAATATAATCCCAACAAGCCACTTAGATCCTTCTATAACAGAGCACGTATATCCCCGAAGAATACTCTTATAAATGGCATAGGACCTGGATTTATTCCAAGCCTTCAAAAAATCTTGAATCATTGTGGCTAACATCTTATGCACTGTGACAAGATTGTTCAATGACGGTGCTTAAAAGTTGCATTATGAACATTGTTTTCCATAATAACTAGATGCCAGAGCATTATTAAGGGCATGTTTGGGAGCAATTTTTTTTCAAAAAATTGATTTTTTGACCGTTATTTCACTATTTCAGTTGTCATATTTGACTTCTTCTCTCACGGGTGGACCTCATTTTTCTCCTAACGATAAAAAAATCAATTCTCAAAATCACTCCCAAACAGACTCTAAGAAACTTAAAATATTCTGAAAAATAAAGTTCTATAACAATAATATGTACTGCCATAAAGAAGAGATGTAATGACCGTTATAAAAGCCCTTTTATAATACGTCAACGCATGACCACTTAGTACCGTCATTGAACTCTTGCTTGCTATAATTGATTTGACAATTAGAGTGCAATAGATCATTCCATCAAAATTTACCTTTAGCTAAATTTCAAAAGGAACTTATCACCTCATTATCAATAAAGATAAAAGAAACGGGAAAATGGAATGATGAATCATCAAATAAAGAGCGTCTTTTTCAATGCATCCGATACATACTATTGGGTACAATATTTTGATTCAACTAGATATTTGCAAAACCAAGTACAAAATGTCAAAATAGCCATGGTTGTATCTATTGCTTGATGTTTGTCCAAAATTGGAGTTGCCCTAAAGCAACAGACCCACAATCTCAAATGACATGTACCATGAAGTTAAGAACTCAAAAAATGTTGTCCCCCGGGGTACGTCTCAATTGGCAAAGGACGAAGTTCTTCAAGGCAGGCAGTTCAGAGGTCGCGGGTTCGATTCATGGGGCTCTTGGAAAGCAAGGCTTTCTCCTGAAAGGCAGGATATTTTCTGAAAGGTAGGAGTTCCTTGGAAGGCAAGGCATGCACATGGGTTTGACTCGCTCGACACTTTGACAGTTCAGTTGGGGGGCTCTTGAACCCTAGCCAGTTTGGGGGTACAACCCGCGGTTTACCTGATCTGCCTGAAGAGAGGTTGGATCGTAGACCCCAAAATTAGTCGCTGTTAGGTGGACACCTGAATATCAAAAAAAGAAAAAAAAAAAAAAAAAAAAAAAACCAAAAAAATGTTGCTTTTTTGAACTATTTTTAATTGTTCGAGGCCCACTTCATTTCGTGGTGTGTTCTTAAGTTTCCCTGTCCAAACAAAGAGCTGCTTGAAAAGTACTACTCAAGACACATAGAAGTGTCCCTATTCTTGTTTAGGTGAATATAGGGGACCCTAATTTCCAAGACTATTGAATTATCAAACCTAGATAGTTACAGAAAAGCATAGACTAACACAAGTTTCGGCCATTTTCTATTAGCTAGTCTTAATATTAATATCCAATCTTCTCGTCTATTTCTTCAACTTCAATATACCAAATATTCATACAGATATATTTGTTAGCTTGAATTCGACGTGATCGAAATCGGGACATATTCCATACTGTATAAGTTTACATATCAACTAATGGCTCACGTCAAACTTGGATCGCTTCACAAATAAAAAGGAATGTTCAAGTTCAACGTTGAATTCAAAATCGCTCCGTTAACAAATAAAAAGGACTCTGAAAATGGAACAAAAATTATAATCAGAGCCCACAATTCAAAATCAAACTTTTAAAGCTTTAGTTCTCACTCTGCTGCAACCAGATGGACTCTAATTTGAGGTCAAAAAACACAATCAGGGCTACAATCTCCATTCTCTGCCTACACATTATTACCTCTACGTGTTATTCTTATATACTGTACATGTTATTACACCATAATCAACTTTTCTTTTCTTTTGGCTTCTGTATAAGTAAAATTCACACCTCGATTTTTACAGTCAGATTATTCAAAATAGGACCGGGACGGGACATCAGCCCAACTTTCTCTTCTCATTGATTGAATTCATCTTGTCCAGTTTCCATTCATCTCGGAGCCTGGCAATGAAAGCTTCAGCCTTGGCATCCACATCCGGGCTCGGGCAAGAAATTGAAGGCCCCATTGAATCTCCACCTTCGGATTTAACAGACATCAGATCTGAATCTTCAAGCTCGGGGGGTGGGGAGCTGCACTGGGAGCTCTGCGCGCTGCTTACCCTAACAAAATCTTCACGCTCCACGAATTTCATTTCGTTCATTTTGAATGACGGTGGAAGTGGCGGGATTGGTATAAGGGCGATATTGACGCTTTCATTGGAGTAGGAGCTTCTTTTGTTGGGTTTTGGTGGTTCGCCGGCGTTGACAGAGTGGTACCGCCGAGGCTCTGGTGGTGGAGGTGGTGCTGGAGCTGAAGGCGGAGAATGTACACGTGTATTCTTGACACTCTTTTTGGACATGTTCTGTAATAACTTAGACGGTGGCGGTGGTGAAGGACGTGCTGCTGCTGCACCTGACTGTTCCGGTGAAGAATTCTCGGAGGCAGAGGCTGTGTCATAAATATTTCTGGTTTTCACCTTCTTCTTTCTCTCTCTACGTTTGTTGTACAATGAAGCAATTGCTGTTGCTATTTCTTTGGTGGTGAGACTCTTTTTCCGGTGAATTATTTCGCTCTTTACCTCCGGAAACTGTGACTTCGCAACTGGTTGCTGTGGTTGGGGTGGCGGCGGAGGAGAAGGAGGCGGGGGTGGCGATCGATTTTCATTGAATTTATCATCATTTCGCTGCTTTTCAAATATTTCTTTCTTTGGGACACTATGGGAAGACCTTCTGCTCTTAAGACTTGCTGCATGTGGTTGTGGAGGCGGAGGAGGCGGTAGTGCCGGTGACTTTGGCGGTGTCGGAGGTTGAGGTAGAGTACTAACTTCATACTTATCCACCGGAATCACCTTCACAGGCGGGTCAGGTTCGTCTCTGTCAACCTCACTCCACCGAGCACCGTGGTGAAAACGATCAACCACCGGCGATGTCCGGTAAGATTTCAATTCAAAATCATTGGAAAACCTGAACCTATTATCCCGATTTTCCCTCAGAGACTCCTGCCTCAGATCAAGATAAGAGCTGCTGCTACTCCTCAGCCGTGTACCACCGCCGTCTCCCACAGGCAAAGGAGTACTCGATTCATTACCGCCGTACTCTTTCCCGTCGAAAAATCCATACCACTGAGAACTCGAAACAGATTCCCCCGGCGGCGGCCTTGCAAAGTCAGAAACTTGTGGAACATTTAAGTTTTGTTGATCAGCTGCATCAGAGGATGGAACATCATAGTTTATTCTGGCAAAAAGGCCACAAAGAATTGCAAACAATACCAACACGATGATGAGTGAATCCCAGCCCTTTTTCACTGAATTGAGATGAAGAATTTGAGTGGTGTGTGAAATAAATGGAGGAACCAAGAACAACAAAATAACTAATATGAGAATAGGTATAGCCAAGATTAGTATAACCGGGTTGAAGATTGGAGAAGACTGCCGGGGGCGGCGGTGAGAGTAGAAGAAGGTAGTGGTGGTGGCCTGAGACCAGAACGGTGGTGAGTCTCCATCTGCATCCATGGCACGGAGGAAGGAGTGGGAGTGTTCCCTTTGAAATTAAGGGGTTTTGGTTTACTTCAATGTGTCGAATTGAGAATTTAATTTAAGAAAGGTAAATGTCACGTTTGACCCCATTATTTGATATTACAATTTTTGAAATAGTATTTATTATTATTATTATTATTGAGAAAGTGGGGTTGAAAAGAAAATAAAAAATTAATTTAAGTGTAATATTATTTTGTGAAATACTGTATGGTTAAAAAAGAGAAGAATAAATTTTTGGGATAATGGAGGCTACACTAAAAACTTTTAAAAATTTGTATTGGCTACGGATAATGATACTATCTTGAAATTATCATATTATTGAGCTTTTATGATGGATCCACAAATTTTTCATACTTCTTAAAACAAAAACAAAAAAAAAAATCTTTTTTAGGGAAAAAAATCTCTCTAAAGATTTGCATAAAACAATTTATTGGGACTTTTCACTGGGTTTGTCCATGATTAAGGTCATTTTTTATTCTTACTTTTTTTTTTTTATGTCAAATAAACTTTGATTCAAAATTCAAATTTGCGTTGAATTATTATAATTCAAGGCCTTAGGAAAAAAGTTTTACGGTGTCTTTTGAAAACAATAATAATAAAAAATTCAATCGATTATTGCCAATGACATTATTACCAAAAATAAAAATTAAATGGAGCATATAATCACTAAAAAGTTTCATTAATTATCGTTGATGATATTATTATAGAAGATCAGATAAAACCTAATATTTATCGATAATTTTGGATAGAATTGCTGAAACTAATATCATTATTTATCATCGGAGCACCTCCATCGACGATTACTAACGACAATATCATCTTCAATAGAGAATTAATTGATGTAATAAAGAAAAAAGTACTGAAACTTGTATAATTGATGATCACCTACATACTGCTGTTAATGTTTATCAGCGAATATGTTGTTGATAATCATTGGCGATCCCATGATCGTTCATCGTCCTATATTTTATTAATAAAATATATATGTAATAATGATAGGTAAATATTAAAATGAAGTGGGATGTTTTGGGAGTTGAAAAAAAACATAAAACCAACCATGTTTTCTTTTAATTAATATATAAATCTTTTCAACTTTTCACCATGATGGATTTGAAATAAAGAGCAAGTTAATTAACCATTGAATTCCCTAACGTGTGATGGTTTGTATTCTAAGTGAATATTATGTATAAAAAGGTGTGAGAAATATTGTTTTGTTCTTAGTACATATACACGAGAACACACACAATTTTCAATAGGGGATATTATCTTGTTTCACAAAATATTTTCAAATTTATTTAATATTAAATTGAGGTAAGAATACATGGTGCAAGTGGTAAATTCTTATCTTTGGTATTTATGTAAATTTGGCATGAAATACTATATGGCCTTCGGCTCGAATTATATGTTAAATCCTTCGGGATGAATCGTCAGGTCAAGAAAAGAAGTTAAATCCTATGGGATGGACCTTTGTGTCAATAATATATAAATCCTAGGGAATATAGGAATTCTTATGAAATTTCTTGAACGATTGGATGTTTCGACCAGTATGCTCTAAATCTAAGAAATGTCGGTGTGCCATGTCATGTCAGTTTTATATTTATATCATGTGAATAAGAATGTGTTCGTATTCTTATTGAGTGTTTTCAAAATACTCACTCTTACAATATTTTCAGATGAGAACGGGTCGTGTGGACACGTGGAAGATTGACAGAGTGATATTAATGGGGTCGTCAAGTAAATTTTCTAGAAAGATAATTGTCCACTTTTATTTGAAGAATATCGCATGCATATTATTTAATATGTTGTTCAAGCATTTGATATGTTATGTTAAATTTTAAATTAATAATTTAAAATCAAGTATTTTCGATATATTTCCGCTTAAATTAGATAGAGAAAAGTTTTGGTAGCACCTCTAGCTTATTTTAATTTAAAAATAATATAATAATAT